AAAATATTGCCATAAACAGTTTATTTTGCGACACCACGAAACAAACGATAGCGTAAAATGAAACGATAGACGTTTTTATATCGTCATCCGATATATATCGTTATATTGATCAGCCCTAGTCTACTGTACAATATAAAGCACCTCGAGGCGACTGTTGTTGTGATTTGGCGCTGTGTAAATAAAGTTTTGTAAGTCTGAGATTAAAAACTACAAACAAACAAGAAAGAAAATCTGCTGATTTTCTAACTAACACTCAGCAGAATATTGTTTTGGAGCCGCTGTGAGTTTAAAATAAAACTACAGGTTACAAGAAAAAAGTAGTGAAAGTAACGAAGCCAATAAAAATGTGTTAAATCTGAGTAGGTTTCATGTCAGGATGGAATTTAAGAGTGCATGTTTTCCCAGGCTGCCTCATTAGCACGGAGCCCTGAAATCCAGGGTTTCAGTCGATCCTCTTTGTTCACCATCAGCTGTAGAATAAACTGCGTGTCTCAGGAGCACGTTTGGACAGTTGGAAATGAAAACTAAAGTCCTCCTTGGCTCATTGAACTTCTGCAGGAGCTCTTACAACTCTCTGAGATCTCGATGACCCCTGGCTCTTCCTCGTGAGGTTTTTTAACGTGTGACCCTGAGTTTGGACCGCAGCCCCGCCCTCCCCTCGTTAGCGCCCTGAAAGGGGTCGGTGGACCGGAAACGTCCCCCTTTTGTTCTTGCAGGAACGTTTCCAGAAACGGTCCCGGCTCTGTTTACAGTGAGCTGCAGGATGGATTGCTGCTATATGCAGTGAGGTCTGCAACCAATCAGAGGCGAGCATCAGGATTGGCTGGCTGTGATTCAGACCGTCAGCTCCCACTGGGTCAAAGTCCCAGCATGCCCGGCTCTGTCACATGTCACGTATGGCACATATTTAGGAGAGGTGGTCCCCACGACATGAAAGAACGAGGTCACTCTGACCCTAAAACCCTTCGCTTTACCAAAATAAAAGCCTTTGTGCCTCATCTACTTTCCCAATCAGCAGCTCGTTGTTCCCACAATAAAAGCCTTTTATGATTTTCCAATCTGCACATTCAGAATGAGACTGAGTCAATCAGATTGTCCCTGTCACTAAAATAAAAGCCTGTTCTGATCTAAAATTATACTTGGACATCGGGCTTTTCAAAATTAAACTTTTCTGGACTATTCTACCAACTAGAACATCACTGCTGTCAAAATAAAAGTCTTCTGTCATCTAAAATTATAGTTGGGACAGCACTTTCCAAAATAAAATCAGCCTTTACTGATCTTTATGACCAGTGTGCTGCAGTTATGTTTACTGTACTCTACTTTATTTCTACTCTCTTTATTGAATAAAAGTGCTCCAGTAAAGTGAAAGTTACAGAGATGTGATCAGTTTAAGCAACGACTGCAAACGGATCAGTGATCAAAGAACTGGACGTAATCCCGACTCTTATTAAACGTGAAAACCGGCACGTAGCTTATCCTGAAGATATTAACATAAATCCATCGTTTAGTGTCGTGCTGTTACGTCACTGCCGATCCTCCGCAGTTTTATCCTGCAGCAATAACAACAGATGGTCCCGGGACAGCAGAGAGAGAGGCAGGAGAGGAGAGGAGGCCCCTCGAGCTCTTTCTCTGATGCACTCAGTCTGATGGAGGTGAAGACTTCAGTGCTAATCTGTTCCATTCACACAGCAAACAGTTTGCTGCACCTGCTGCTCCTCCACAAACTCTGAGGAGAAGTTCTTGGATTCGTGCTTTTCTTGCAGGTCTGCACAACAAACTTTGTTTTTCTTGCAGTGGAGCTCAAGGTCAGGATATCACTGCAGGGAAAACTTTGCATCTTGCTCTGCGTCCATGTTGCACTTCGAATCACTTTTCTCTTAT